ACTCAATAAACAACTCATATTCTATTTGTACTTTATCGTATTTGTATTGATATCTAAGTTTCGAATTTTTCAAATTTCAGTTTTTTAATATGATAGTTAAAAGGAACGGAAATGACTGTCTTTGGTCCATTTGTTTACTGCAAAAATCAATTTTTGCTAGAGTCGCCATCTAGTGGAGGTGCTTTTTTAGTTCTTTCGTTTTTTTTTTAAACCTTCCTCATTCTTAACGCGCTCACTAGTAAAACTTACACTTACCCACTTACCACTGATCTTACATGTCAACGAGCCAGGTGTTATGTAGTTCGTACGATGAGTATGTGCTTTTTGTTTCTTACAATAATGTTATCAATAGATTGACTCCACCACCTACTACTCGACAAAATACAAAATATTTTATTCTGCAAGTAACATGGTAATAATACATTCGATCTTAATATTAGTTCATAACCGCTACATATTATACCAATTTTAGAATATAGAAATATAGAATATAGAAATTTATAAAAAGAGCAATTGATATATATGTCATGAAAATTATTAAATGTACATCACTATTATCTTTCATAAAAATTTATTAAATATGTCCGCTATCATTAAATTTCTAATAAAAGATAAAAACATTATACACCATATGTCAAAACAATATGTACGCTTTTATCATTAATATACTAGTAGTTAAATTCACTTTAAATTCTGCAAGCAAAATATTCTTACCTACTCTAGAAATCAGTTTTATTGAAATACTAGCTGACCCGACAGATATTACTGATTTAGTATTTAGAATAGTCATGCTCTCTTAAAAATCTATGCGGTGGTGTTGTATACGTCAGATCGTTATATTCCCTGAAATATAATTGAGCGAAGCGATGGCTAGCTCATGCGTCAACCTCGTCAACGGGTGCTGCCAGTGAGGATAAGTCTGCTGGTTTGAGTTTGGATCATTTTCTTTTATTATGAATATTGTATATTGATTTGTCAATGATTATGTATGACTCGGCAACCGGCATATTAATCAGTAGGATCGAAAAATATATGTCTAGTTATTTCTGGTATTGTAATTAAACTGACTAGAGATCTTATTTAAACACATTCTAATAAGATTTCTCTGTGTGAAATAAAACAGAGAGAAAAAAAGCAGCCCTTACTGAGTAACATAATAAATAACTTAAACTTACGATTCAAATAAATTAAAATAAGTTTGAAAGAAACACGAAACGACATCATATTTATTAATTTTCGATACTCAATTTACTTTTATACGTCAGAAAGAAGATTTGAATGAATATCATAAACAATTATCCGAAAATACTCCCTCGTTGCAATGTCGTTCGGCCACGATTGCGTTCGAGAGTGAGGGGGCAGATATTCTTAATGAAATCATCGAAATTATAGATTGCCTAACTAGAGAACAAATTGAAAAAAAAGTAAAAGTATGTGGATTTTTCGCCTTGACTGTAGACGAGGCGAGATGTTAGAAAGAGCAGCAATTGTCAATTACCTAAATGTGGTTGAAAGATTAATTAATCGACGTGTTCGACGAGATGCGAAACAGATGCGAAAGGATTGTTAAATGCGAATTATCGGACATAAATTTTCTGATACACACGCATTTTCTGATTGATTTTATGAAGCAATGACTCGTTACAACTCTCAAGGTAACCGTCTGAACACAGGGGGCCCCAAAGTAGCCTACTCTGTCCCTTCTAGCCCTGACCTCAAAGTGGTCTACTTTTAATAAACTATTTAATAAAACAGATCCACCTACTAGGTAATGAACAATACTAGGCTACACCTCTTATAATTTTCTAAATACTTATTTTACCTATTATTGTTTAATATATTTAATATGTGAACATATGTGGATAATTATATAATACTAGGAATATATAGCTCGACTTTTAATTAAATGCAGTAAAATTACGTTTCCCATTGTCAGTTGGTGAAATAATATTGCTATATTTTTACTGCTAGTGAGGTGGTAAAAAATAAATTATTTTTTCAGCATCGATTTTATAGGTTACGAACAGGCATTCTATTAGAAAATAATAATCACGCAACACGCAGATAAAAAAATAGAATTCACTTTTAAAACTATTAAAATATTGAAAATGAAGTAGAAATGCATTTTTATTTCTAGTTCCGATGTCTTTTGACTATCTGAAACGTCTTATAAAATATGCCTTATTCAAATTGCGAAAAGGCTACTTAATTCTTGTTTAGGTAAATCTTAAATAATTATTATCTTAAACTGTGTTTGAACTCTACTAAGCCCTCTGCAAAATTCTTACGATTAACGATTAAAACAGATAGGTATTGTTTATTTTTGAAGCTAGTCGCTCCAGGAAGTACAGAAGTGTATCATATGAGGCAGGTGTAAGCCTAGTCTAGACATAAGTCTACTGTGTGAATTGTCTGCCAAACAAAAAGCCTGCCCAAACCACCAAAGCTATATTGGGTTACTGAAAATACACAAAGGTAATGCTCCGCAGCGACAAACTGTTAGCTAAATCGACTCATTAACCTACAGATTGGCTCAGCACATAGCTAAGATACTTTACCGAATATGTTTTGGGTATTTATTTATTAATATATTGGGTGATATTTAACTTATCTCCGACAAGACTCCCAAATTTGGAATCGGTTGTAGATTACGGTAGCAAGGGTTAAATTATAAGTCAAATGTATTTTTTTAAATAATTTAATCCAATAAATGTAAACGTTTCCATTTTATTTGTATTAATGTGTCCAATAGTATAATATAGTATAATATCCAATAGTTGGTTTGAAGGTAACTATACCTACTCTTAATTAAAAATACAATCAACACCTTAGTCTTATATCAACACGGAATCTGTAAAGGGTCCGAAACGTCAATAAAACTAAATACAAACGAGAGGAAACCCTTTAATACTTGTTTCATTTATGGATAGTGCGAGTGAAATTATAAGAAATCAAAATTTTTCTTTCGACTGCCTGAATATTGATGAAAATACGTTCTGTAGTAGCGAAAAAGTAACAAGTGCTTGAAACATTCGTCTGTCCTGTTAGGCGTTGGGTAGTTCAGTGGTTAGAGCAATCGCCCGGATTGCGAAAGGTCATGAGTTCGAGTCCCATCTCAGAGTGCCAGGGACAAAATGGATTTGAGTAGAATGCCCTTAATTAAGAAGAAGAGCGTTCGTTCACATTAAACCAATGTACACTACTTTAGCGATAGAATTATTCAAATCGTTATTAAGTGGTAGCCCTCTTTTAAGAGTGGAGTGTTATCTGCAAACAATAATTTGGAGATAATCTCGACAGTTATGCTATAGTGATTATCCCTTACGAAAAAAAGCAGGTCATTTATGTAAATTATAAACAAGAAAGGACTGAGCCTTGAGGAATACCCACCATAAATATCGATCCAGTGCATATTTTGCCAATGATATAGTAACGTTGCGTTGTACCACGCCATTTACTTTGTCCTAGGTTCTCGAATCCAAACCCTTTGTCTTTGTTCTTTAATATATTATTTTTTATTATTCGCTTAACGTAATTTGAAATGTTGAGTATCGCAATATACTCTTCCGGAATGTTAGTTCATGAAAAATTTATCCGACGAGAACTTAATGTTTTTAAATTATGTAAATTTAATCATATAAATCCAATATAAATTAGTATTATTTTAATAAGAAACACGTTAACATATGCCTACATAAATATTTATTAAGTTCTACCCTTAGAGTATATAAGGTTCTGCCTATAATGGAAAACCGGGGTATGTAATTGTTTTTATTTAAGCATCTACTTATACTATGCCAAATTTAGAAAACTTTTTCTATTCTTTTTATGTTTTGTTGCACCTGTTTTTTTTTTTGTTTTGTAGCATAAATATACCTACTTATCAATCATGGTCAGCCGTTTCATTTAATACTTATAACAAAGCACCAAACCCGTAACAATATCAACCCTCTGCACTCTTGTCAGTTACATATGAACAATAAAATCCAATGAGTTATCTCTGAAGATTTCTAATGTTTTATGTAAAACACAATCAAATGCTATCCTCCTCTATGTTCCTTCATGCTAGGCCAGGGGTCGGCAACCTTTTGAGACGAAGAGCCAAAAATTAAAATTAACATAATTTCAATTTTTTTAAAGAGCCATAAAAAAATCTTGTTACCAATAAATAGCAGCCATTTTTTGATAAAAAAAATAATCATTTATAAGAACTACATAGTTTCTGAACTTAAATTCCAATTGGCCTTAAAGAGTCGTGTTCTTTCACAATAAACTAGGTAATATATAGGAAATAAATGATATTTGCGTATGGAACTAAAGAACCGCAGCCAAAGAGCCCCATGTGGCTCGCGAGCCGCAGGTTGCCGACTCCTGTGCTAGGCGATGCTTTCAACATTGTGACGACCCCACAGAAATATATCTAGTATTTCTGTGGACGATCTAGTAATCATAGGAGGATGACCACGCGATCTGTTGTTAGCATGTGGTCTCCATTCCAGAAGCCGTTTTGTTCTCTTACTATTGACGGAGACAACGTCTTAATTGTGATCCATGCATTATAAAGACCAATTTGAGTCCTACTCTATGTGATGCGATCTTCACTCTGTCAATCATCAGCACTAAACATTCAAAAAATTATGCCAAATTGTCCGCAAACCTCAAGTTCGTGATAACTTTATCATCAAAGATTTGTAATTAATTATTACGATTAAAGTTATTATAAAAGTTTTGCATAAAGACCTCGGGTATACAGTAACTACATGCCTATTTTCCCTATTAAAAAGGAGAAAAAATAGGAGCAAAAATGGAAAAAAAAGTTGTGAACTTTAGAACCACTATGGCTATGATTCCCCGTAAAGTGTGCTATTTTTGTTGGCTCGTAGGATTTAGTTTTTATTATTATCGCTTCTATTCCATTCCCAGCCGGGGTAAATTAAGACTCAAAGTGGTCTTTATAACACAGAAAGATTATTTTGTAAAGTATAAATCAATAAGCTTACAATAAAATAAAAAAAATCGATCAATAGAAATTTTGGTAAGTTTATTCAAATAATATATACAAGTGGGACATTTAAACAGTTACATATCCATGTTTTTAGTGCATAATATGCTGTTTGAACCATGATTCAAATGCGCTGACTCTGGCGAACACGTCAGGGGCACCGCGTGCGCAAGGGATACCCCATGCGACTATGCCGATTTGTGTGACGCCGCCGATCACGTCGAATTAGAGGACTGCCAGAGTCACCCTGGAAATTTATTTAATAAGTAATACCTATTCAGCAATTCCTAGATTATTCCTAGACTAGTGAAAAACAACAACGTTGTTTAATAACGTTACAACAACGTTGTTTAAAACATGTTAAATAACGTTAATTTGTTACGTAAATTATGGCAATATTGCCTAGCCCAATAGCTGAATACTTACATTGCACATGCCGTGTCCGGCACCGTTGGGGTGAATGGTGCATAGTTCTACTTGCGGGTCCACAACAGGGGCTGATACACCAGCGTTGGCTGCGACTTCTGCCATGTCCCTCACACACTGCTCTCCAGATATAGTAAATACGTCTAAATCCAACAGTAACGGGGATAATGGACCTTGATGCTGTTGATAGCAAATAAATAGCCTGATCAAAATACCAAATTTCAGCATGGAGATCAAACATTAAAAAACAGCAGCTATTTTTTTCAATTATGAGGATATTATTATATATATCCTTTTTACTATATGAATTAATTCATATACATCTTTTTCGGATTATTAGTAAAAAAAAAATCCTTTAATTTCTCAATGGCATGATAAGCAAAATACTATAAAAAGTGACTTCTCTGTATTTTCACGTTGTTACTTTTATTACTATCATGAAATATAAAAATTTTCCTAATATTATATTTGGAATCACGGACCAGACATATTAAAAAAAATATTTGTAACTGAAGGCGCCCTTTATGGCCTTAGGCAGGCTATGCAGGGAGGGAGATCGAAATCTCCTTAAAAACGTGGTGTGGACTGTAAGGCATGGCCAAGAAAAATAAATTATTAAAGTAGTGGGTTTCCGCGAGGTACGAACTGGTGACAAGTAAGAAATAAATGGAAAACAAGGGGAGAGGCACTGCACTTACTTGTGGTCATTATGGTGCAATGACGGCATTATACACTCAAAATAATACAGAACACCAGCACTTCGTCACCAATACTTCTCACTGATATAAGATGTGGAAATCGAGCGGAATTACACAATTTTATGGCATGGCGAAATATAGAAGAACGATTACAATTCGGACGCGGCGGGCAAATTTCTTCAACTGGCGACTCCTACCGAAGACGCCATAGATGCAGCGGAAATATGTTCTGTCTTACTCTTTCTCTCTCATTTTTGTGCAGTGCCAAAGGCGGAGGAAGATAGGAAAGGTACTAATGTCAACCATATTTTAAAGCGGCGCGAATAATTAAATTAATTGTTAATATTGAATAAATGTATGTTAGCGTTATCATTTCTCACGCAAGACTAAGATAACAAGTAAGAATCATAATTATTGTCTAAACTTCAGAAACACTGAATCTCGAAACTGAATAATATTTAATGTCCAGAATTTTTATTGATATGTAAGGTAAGTAGGTGCTATTGCGCTGTAGGTACACATTAGTTGCAGGCTAAGCTGTAATTTTGACGTCATTCAGAATTTGTATGATGTCCACACTGTTACCCAGCATTAAGTATAACTGAGTCCATACATAAACAAAATTTTAGTACATAAAAGTAAAATTCCAATTTTGGCTTTATTATAAATGCATTTTCTAATTAGGGTGTATAGATTGTGATCTACGACACGGATGGCAGTAGCGAAATGCAGGTCAAAAATAATCTTTGTCGTTGTCAAGTATAAACGAAGGAATAGGTAGGTATATACTTACAACAGTTCGACCCCAACCAACTGCACGAGCCCGGATATTACCACCAACATATTCGAAGTCCAGTGGTATGGGCTGAACCAGGGCATTGAAGATAATGTTAGTAGTGGTATAAAGTAGACCCACGTCGTTCTTGATAATGGAGCGCACATAATCTTCATGAGTCTTGTTGTGTGAAACCGGATACAAAACACCATCTTGGTTAAAAAAGTTCGAACCGGCTCTTAGTCGGAGATTGCTGTCATAAAAAATATATATGAAATCTTATTACAATATTAGCGTAATAGAAGAGTTAATGCTTCGGGTGATTGAAAAATTATTATCTTGAGCTTCTCCGTATTTCGGAAAGCATTTTACATCTGTAGTCGTTAACACCCGTCATTAAATACAGGACCCACGTGGTATCCACCACGCTAATTTGGCTAGACGTCCCGTTTTCGGATGTCTGTCCCGGAGTCACTGAAGATAACAACGGGATGCAAAAATGTCCCAATTTTTGGAATGTTGTGAAAATTTTGACATCCACATAAATCGAGGAAGGAGAAATAGCGAAAAGATTGATTTTTCATAAATGAAATCATTCCATCCCACCAAGCCTTTCTCCGTTTTCAAAAAAACATATCCCGTTTTGAACAAAACAAAAAATGATCACATAAGTCCTTCAATAGGCTCAAGGCCGTCTTTACTTGGGCACCTGTCGAGCGCTGAATATTTAGAGATATTTCATGGAACTCTACGTCATTCAGGCCCGTCTTTACCCACGGTGCAAGGGGTGCAATGCACCCGGACGCGGCGAGTTAGTGGCGCCACGCTGATTATGGTCTATTCTTGTAGTACCTACTCATCGATGACTTCGGTAATGGGCCCCAAAATTGTAATTTTATTTCAATAATTTTTATATTTTCCAACCGCTGACAATGAACAACAAGTCTTATGACATAGCTGCCGCTTTCGCACCACCAATTTTAGTTTTTTATAAATATGTGTAAAGTATTTTTTCAAAACCTTTTCCCTGTAATAACGGGATGGTGTCAGCCAGAGCATTGCTTGCTCCGGGGCGCCTACAACAAGCGCGCCGACTTAAGATGGTCCTGAATAAGCTGGTGGTGTATATCACTTTTAATGTTCTATCACTTTTAAGATATTTTTCAGTAACAGGGCAAAGATTTGATTGAATACATGAAGTATTTTTTCCACCTCATATATAAGTCGTGATTAGAAATAATTCTAAAAGAATTTGTGAACTCGTTGTTGTATGATTTTGGCGTCCCCTGAAAATGCCGTTTGGGCCAGATTACCCTTCAGGCTACCAACTAATGTGTCTCGTTCTAAAATACTTCTTTGCAATAAAAAGGAAAAGAAGGGCTTGAAAGGTGACAAATCAGAAGATCAACCATTCCACGACAGGCCCTTGTGAAAGCTTTAAGGTTTTAATTACCTGTTGAGGGATCCAGAACTGAAGACGGCCTCGATACAGTGAGCGGCAGTGAGAACGGTTCTTTGAGTAATTATGGAACCACCGCAAACTAACCCAGTGAACGTCGCTCCGACAACCATGGCGACGAGGTGGGGGTAGTCGTGCATTTTGGCTATACTACCTCCCACAATACGGTCCACGCGATCTGGATTCACATGGTCGAAGAACTGAGAAAAGTCAGTATCGGGTGTCGGCAAACCTGTAATGAAAATTTTAATTTTAATCAACCTATTTTTATTCATTCAGAGTATTATCAGTATAAAAGCTTACGGTATGCGGATTTGAAGTAAGAGAGAATATATTATTTATATCTTAGCGTATAGGGTTTTGGGAATATATGTCGTACTTAATGTAAAAAATATGTCTCTTACTGTAATTGCTAGAATTACACAGAAAAAAAATATATTCAGTACATAAAATTGTAGTCTCTTATATTCAATACTGTAAATTTATGTAATTTTTTTTCTGATATTTTTAACCTAATAACACCGGGGGTGAAAAAAGATGTAGGTATATAAACACGTTGCTACTGTATTCGCAAGCTGATGAATAATCTTTGTCAATATATCTAAAGTTTATTTATTACTATTGAAAAAACATAATGATGTTAATAAATCTTATCTTACTATTATACTGTGAATATATAATAGTAGCAATAAAACGCTATTACAAAATAAAAAGACAAACAAACTTAAGGTTGTTTGTGTTGAAGCGATCTCTTCCAGACAATCGTGAATAATAATAACAATGATTAGTTTGTAGATTGACAATGACATTTGATTTTTCATATTTTTGTATTGCTGACATTTAATATTATTATTAGATTTTTATTGTAATTTGATTTGACCTATATTTTTTGACATTGTTAATAATATTTGATCATCATAATTTAAGTGTTATTCTGTCTTATTGTATGTTCTTTATTTAAATTTAATATTTTTTTTTATAGTCTAATCTTGCAATCGTTTCTGTTAGCTTTTAAGACTCGTTTGTTATAAATAAATACTTAAACGCAGATGGTGGTACCTATTGTGCCAACAATGAATAATATATTATAAAAAAAATATATTCCTCAAAAGTTGAAATACAAGTGAATACATATATACAGTAAATGAAACAACTTACCCAGACATCCCAATACTAGGACGGCGAAAATAATACCAGGTTTGATTAACATGTTGCAGTAGTCAAAGTTTATTATAATATAAAACGATCTGAATAGATCCATATTTAGATTTCTTATATCTTCGTACTGATACGGATATTAATATCGATTAAAAAATGATTACCAAAAAAAAAAGGAAATTTTAATCAAATCGATTGATAAGATGGCGTTGTTAATTAATTAAAACTCTACTGTTTATGTCTATTTTTCTCCCTAAAAAAAATTATATTCTTCTCCATATATTTGCCACTCTGGGCAATTGTTCAGCCCCGCCCTGTACGCGTAGCATAATAAACTTTCGCCCTCTCACGATTGCTATGAGATTAATTAATCGGCTATAAGTCTTGTTACATGTTAGAAAATCTTTTGTAACTATTGTGACAAAAATAAAGTGATTATTATTAATATTTGTCTAAGTTTCTTTTCTCGGGATTGTTATTAATTGAGCTCTGGCAACATTCTTATCGCCAACACTTGTCAATGTATCGTCGTTAGTTACTTACTTACCTTTTTAAGAAATAATATGTCTGACATCGCGTGTAATTATAATAAAACCCCAAATGCATTATATCACACTGTTTAATTTATGCCACCACCATGCGAGTTATGTGCCACGAACGGGACGATAATGGGTTATATTGATGCAATGGAGACGCATGCGAGAAAAGTGACATTAATGTAGACGAAACGTTTCTGATCACTCTCAATATGTTATCGCAAAAGGCTATCTATTTGCATTCATATTTTATTTCATTAGTCCCTTAGACCCCATTGGGTCTTTGTTCATTTATATTTTCATTCATGACATCGTAAATACCTACATATTGTCAAATACAGTGAAATGTTTTGATGTGCAGATGAGATAAATAATTATATAAATGTATCTAAAGCTGTAGTTGTGCTAAGAACGCCAAATTATTTCAGGTTCATTATATATAGATATATTTGGTATCAATGTTTTGTAAAACAGTTAATAAGACATTTCGGAAAGTATAAAATAAAAAGGGTAAATTAATTGTTATCTTTTTACTTTATTTATGACATAAATAGTTATTACAAATTTATTATAATATAGACAAAAATACAAAAAACATTGAATGTCACTAAATTTCAACTTTTTTATATTATTAAAGAGTCTGTAACTCTGTCGTGCAGGTAAACAGTAAAGTTTGTCGGACGAAAAAAGTCCCGCAGTATAACACTTATTCCTTTGCAATAAAAGAGAAAATAAAAGCGAGCATACATTAATAAAGGCTTTTTGTAAATTAAGAACAAGCTTGTGTTATAGAATAATATCAGATTACATTTTAATAAACTTATTGTGGTAAAATATAAACGCTTTTTAAAATTTGACAATGTATATTTAAATAGATCTACTTTGGAAATTTGTTTATTACAAAGTATCCGAGCTGCGGTGGAGGAAACAAATTCTTGTGTATTTTTTTTTGAGTTGAGGCACAAACATGGCATCCATTTTTCTCTTTGGTTTGTTGTATCGAAAACATTTGTAATCCAACGTTTATATAAAGACTTTTTGGATTTTTTCCACTCTATCAATATTTTTTGGTAAAAAGATTCCACACAGTGTTATCAAATTCAGAATTGACCTTCCAGTCCAGTAATTTTTCTATTTAACTATTTTAATTATATTATTTAAGTAATCATACGAACCGTTTTTATATTTCTTTTTTGTTTGATACAGTTTTTTTTTGTAAATTTAATATATAAATCAAGTTCTCAAGCTTAGTCAGCCTTTTATTCATATGCTAAGCATCGAACTCGTCACAACGTAGAGTAATTTCAAGGTATTAATGTTAGAAAATGGTTCGAAAACCTAGGGTTCTGTAGGCTCTGTGTAATCGCATCGAGGTGTTTATTGAATTTGAGCTTATCTTCCATAACTATACCCAAGTCTCGAACGATACTTACTCTATTAACGATTTTATCCTCTATGGTGTAACAATAGGGGATAGGATTTAGTTTTCGTGTATATGTTACATTTGTCTATATTCAAGTACAATTGATTATTGTTACAATAGTTACACAATTCTTCAAGATCGGATTGTAACTTAAAGCTTAGTATCGTCTGCATACATAAGGACTGACATTCAGGTAACTTTCCGTTGTCGTTCACATATAGCATAAATAGCAATGGTCCTAAATGCGAACCTTGAGGTATGCCTGAAGAAACTGGTAAGAAATTTTAACATATGCACTTTTAAGAAGCGTAATCAGGCTACGGTTACGTGTATAAGATTCTATCAACACTAGGTACGTCAACCTGTTTGTTTTTATCCATAGGTAGAGCTAAAAAAATTGTAAAAGTTATCATATTAGATTGAACACCACGGCGCCTGAAGAAACCATGTTGAGACTCTGTTATGCAGTTTTGGATAGCGTAAGATATTTGCTTAGATAGATAGATATATAGATAGATAGATAACTCTTTATTGTTGACATTACACTATTTACAGAAAAAAAAACATAAATTAAACTTGTGTCTATCTTTTCCATAACTTTACCGAAAATACAAAGTTTCGCAATAGGCCTATACTGATCAACGGAGTCATGTATTTTATTTTTTGGAATAGCTGTAATTAATGTCTATTTCCTTCTTTCGGGAATAATACCACGTAGAGAGGTTTCAAAAATCTAATAATTTTGAAATAGTAATTCATCTGTAATAAATGGGTTAACCCATCAAACCCAGCACCTTAATGTATATTCACTGAATTTAATTCATTCAAGATATTTTTTTATTAATATAAATTTTACCCATATCGACATTTTCTTTGTTACCAATACATATGGGGGTATTATTGAGAAAAATACTGACTGGAAATATTTATTACAAGAGTAGCTTTCCGCCAGTGGTTTCGTCCGCGTCGTCCCTATAAAACTTATTTAATGGGATAAAAAGTATCCTAATATCTAAGTCAGCTAATACCCTATCTGTATACCAAATTTCATCAAAATTCGTTCAGTAGTTTCGGCGTGATTGACGGACAAACATCCAAACAATTTCACATTTATAATAATCACAGGATTCACAAATATCGTATCCATCAGTCAGAACAGAGCCACTGTATGTAATTCTACTGGAAACTTGCCCGTCAGATCTTTTGCTCTTTATACAGGACCAAAAGTATTTAAGATTTTCCCTTATTTTATTTGTTGTGTTCATAAGTGTTCATAACTTTGATGCCCCAATTTACGAAATCTCCTCCTGAATTCGGAAAAAGTTTGGTAATCCATAGGATTACCATACCTTTTCCATTTTGTATGTCAATATCTTTTCTCTTTACTTAATGTTAATATGACCTAATCAGTTTTGATATATATGTATTTTTTATAATATAATTTAATTTGATAAACAATATGTTCATGGATTCGTTTAAATCTTTACAATTCAATAAAATTACTTACCAGTTAATTTAAAATAGTAAAAAAACGCTGTATTACCATAGGAATAATGTCTGTTGAGCGTAGTGTGACTGTCAAGTACAGATAGTAATGTATTTTTGATTTTCATGTATCTACACAATTTAATTTTTCATTATTTGACGAAAATTATTTGGTATGTTGCTTACAAAAAAGTTAGTCTTCATTATTAGGTTCTTTGTTAATATAATCTAAATTATTTGACTTGGCAAACTGACAGCCGTGTACTGCTGCCATGTTATTACATGAATAATGTGTGTTGAGCGTGGTGTGACTGCGACAGGGTATACAGGGACTACACAGATAAGACCTGTGCCTTGTTCGCGTACTGCGTTCGACCTGCCTGTAGTTTTTTCGTGTCACGGGGAGGCTTAGATATATTAGTATTAGTTAGATATAGGTATAGTTAGATTTGTTTTCCGAGTACTTAATGAGATTTTTTTCAAAAAGTAACATATGGGTATTGACTTAAACGGTTGAATACAAGGTGTTGCCGACAGCCTTACCATGTTTTTGATTTATTATCTTTAAGGAGGTTTTTATACTTGTTTTTAATTTATCTTTTTTTTACTTTTTGACTTTGTCAATGTATTCTCTTGTATCTTGCTTTTGTACGTTGGTCAACAATAAATCTTTCTCCGTGCTAAAAATTATATTATTAATTATCTACAGTCCTCTATGCTTGCTGTCGATAACACAAGGTTTTCAAAAAGGCTTAACCATAATTATCATCACTGTAATAACAACTACAATCAGAAAGTTTAAAAAATATCTAGTTTGCTCATTCACTTTCTATACCAGCCTGGTAATTTCTCTAACTAAATAGGTGCAAATATAAAGTAATAACAAAAAGAAATCATTAAATCTGCTCGCGTGAAAAACAACTGCATAAAGATAGGAACCTTTTTCTTGCCGCTGACTACATGCTATGTATGTTGCATAATTTTTTAGCTTGTACTAGCTATTACTATTGCTTTTCACGTAGGCAATTTTTTTCTTTTTCTAATAAATAAATACCTATCGGTATATCTGGTATATCTAATCAGTCGAATAATTATGCTATGAATTGATAATAACTGTGTAAGAGCGAGTCGGACTCGCGTGTCGGGGTTATTATTTATTCCTTTATATGTGAAACTATTTACTGATTTTTGTTTTCAAATTTTTAGGCTAATTAGTTTAAAGAGGGAACCTCTGTGGTCAATTTTCTTATATAATGTCTTACGGAGCGGACACGGAGCTTACGGTTACGGAGCTCGTCCGATAAATACTTATTAGATATGTTTTTTTTTTTTGCTTCAATAAATGGCTCGATACGTCAGTGCTGCTGGGATATCATAGTCGTTATAACGACTTCTGCTGCGTTTACTGAGACACTTTCCTGGTTGGCCCTCCAACACAATTTCCTTTTCATTTTTTTTTATTGCCATGTATATTTGTTTTGGATCAATAAATGCTTTCTTAATTTGATTTGATTATGCAACATTTCAACTCAATGTGTCGCCGTATTTTATTGACTACGCAAAAAATAAAATTAAATATGTTCAGAAAAATATATATTTAAAAGTCCGTGCTCAAGTTTCAGCAGACGTAGTTGTTAGGCAGACACGGTCGGCAGGTGGCGCTTGCTATGCGCTGATACTTTGTCAACATTTGTATATTTATACACAAAAAAAGAACCA